TGGGCCTTCATTGCCCTCATCTTGAGATTTCATAGACAGGCAGGCTGGAATATTGAGGATGGGGGTGTAATCTCTTACTACTGATTTTCTGGAGTTGTGTGTATGTGTGAAGTTCAAGTATGATTTAAAGGAAAGAAGGTAAATGGAACACTTATCACTTTCTTAATTTTCCCTAAGGATCTCTGTCCACCCTACCCCCTTACTTATTTTATTACTGTCATTATTGCAAGAAAGTATGAAGGAGTTGGCTAAGAACATGAAAATCTGCTCAGGAGCTTATGTATCTGTCCTTTTCAGGAGAATTGGAATCTGCCTAGCTTCCTGATATGAATTGAGAGTTATATGCTTGTACTATACATGATATCATCTGCCTGGGACTCTTCATTTTGAGACTGTTGGTATAAAATAAAGAAGAGGGCCAAAAGGTCAAAACTGATGCTACAGAGAAGACTTGTAAATTTGCGGCTCTTTGGCCCCTTGAGTGTGGCTCTTCCACGGAAGCACATACAGTGTGATTGACACTTCGTAGCCCATGTGCAGAAGTTGGTTTTCAGCCTGTATGAATCTATTTCGAAGAAGTGACGTTACAACACTCAAGGGGCCAAAGAGCCGCATGTGGCTTTGGAGCCACGGTTTGCCAACCACTGCTCTAGAGTAAATAGTAGTATAGAAATGTCTTCAGGAGCAAGTAAATGGAACTAGGAAGTTAAAATTTTTAAAAGTGGGAGTACCTAAATAATCAAATTAGCTAAACGAAAACATTTTTATTATTGAAAAGGCACACCTTGCCCTTCAGGTATTACTTCTTCCCAGTGAAAGGTTCTGTAATATTCTGATTTAGATACTGCCTCATTGTTATCTTTGTGGATTCATAACAAGTATCGTTGTCAGTAGCCTTGTAATCTAGTGCTGCCATATTTGCAGGAACACGTGAGCCCCAAAGCAAAATCTGAGCTAACAAGTTCAGCCATTGGAAAAGGTGAAAATTGACTTTCAGGTGATGATAGAATGTTGAGAAGTAAGAGCTTTGGAAATTTTTCCTGGTGGCATTATTCTGATTCTTTATCTCAGTATAAATTCATGTGACTATATAGTAGCAAACTCAATATTTGATTTTTCTTTTTTGCAGGCTCTTATACAAATGGATAATATATATGCATCACATTGACATTGAAAGAATCATTGTAATTTTATAAGTAAAAGTGCTATATCTATAATATTTATAGTATGGAATATAGCTCTGAAATATGTATAAACTCTTAATTAATGGTTGATATCTACCAAATTCTTTGCAGAATTTATATCTTTTAAAGTGTGTCATTTCTTATTTAATGCCCAAATTAAAACATCCTTTGAAATGTACCTTTCTTAACTGGCATAGATAACCAATTTTCTAATTTTTATCACCAGTTATTAATTCTGCATGTTCTTGTATCCTGTAATAATGTAGTCTTTTGTCTGGCTTCTTTTTCTCAACAAAATTTTAAAGATTCATTCATGTTGAATGTATCAGTACTTAATTTTGTGGTATTGCTAAGTAGTATGCAATTGGGCATTTAGGTTGTTTCTGATTTTTAAACAGACTTGTACAGATTATTTTCTGGATATATATTTTCATTTGTCTTTGGTAAATGAATACCTAGCAATGGAAAATAGGTTGGGTGTATATTTAACTTCATAGCTTAAAAAGCAGTTTTCCAAAGAAGTTTATCATTTCACACTCCCACCAGCAATAGTTTACGAAAGTTCCAGTTTCTCCACATTTTCCCTAACATTTGGTGTTCTCAGTGTTTTTAATTTTAGTCATTCTGGTGGGTGTAAATGATATCATGGGTTTCATTGGCATTTTCTTAATGACTAATGATTTTAAACACCTTTTCATGTATGTATTTACAGTTTGGATGCCTTCTTTTTGAAGTGTCCACTAAAGCCTTTGCCCTATGTTTAATTGGGTTGTTTGTATTTTTATTATTAATATGCAGGTGTTCTCTATACAGTGTGAACCCCCAAAAGTATACATACTTTGAATAATTATAAAGGCAGTGTTTATTAAAATACATTTCATTTTCAAATGCAATATGAAAAAATGCAATAGAATCTACAGATGTAGTGTTATATATTTTTGAGTAGACACAAATTTGATTCAATTTGTCACTTTTATATGGATAGTGAACACTTTCTTCTGATCCGTGGCTTGCTGTTTAATAGTTTTAATTTATGAACCATAGCAAATTAATTTTTGTGGGTTCTATGAAGCTGGGGGTCAGAGGGTTCAGATAGATTTTTTTCATGTTTATCCAGGTTATTGTTGACAATACTTTTATTTTTTCATTGGCTAGCCTTGGTGCATTGGTCAAGTTAAATTGGCTGTATATATTATACATAGAAGTATTTTTGAACTCTATTTTGTTAATCTATTGGCTTATTCTAATTATGTCACTATTCCACTACTGTGATTGCTGTAGCTTTTTTGTTTTAAAAATATATTTTATTGATTTTTTACAGAGAGGAAGGGAGAGAGCCAGAGAGCCAGAAACGTTGATGAGAGAGAAACATCGACCAGCTGCCTCTTGCACACCCCCCTCCGGAGATGTGCCTGCAACCAACGTACATGCCCTTGACCGGAATCGAACCCGGGACCTTTCAGTCCACAGACCAACGCTCTACCGCTGAGTCAAACCGGTTTTGGCGATTGCTGTAGCTTTTAATACAACTTTCTCATTAGGTAGTGAAAGTCATCCAAGTGTGTTCTTTTATTTTTATGTTGTTTTGGTTATCCTAGGTCCTTTGCTTTTCCTTCTATATTTTAAAGCTTTTTTTTATAACTTAATTTTGACATAGTTTAAACAAATCATGCTGCAGACTAGTATAATTTCAGTGTATATATTCTCCAGCTTTCCTTAATGATACTACCTTAAATAATCATAGTACATGTCTTCAGTGAGCATGATACTGCCTTTAAAGGGGCAAAGATTGATATTGGGGGAGAAAAATCATACTATTTCAATGTATAAAGCACTGTTATACATACAGTACATGAACAGATACACAGTGTATTTGTGATAGTAACATTTAGTGGGTGATTATGAGATAATGTCTGAAAAAGCTTATTTAGGGGCAAAATAGTGAAACAGTTGGGACATACTGCTATAAGTCAGTGTAACTAAGGAAACCAGGAACTGACATTAATATACTATTTACTCAGGTACATATCTGAGTTGAATTTTACCACTTTTTAAAAAAATAAATGTTTTTATTGATTTTGGAGAGAAGGTAAACTTCAGACTCTAAATATCTGAAAATGTGTTTAACTTCACTCTTAATTGGCTCTATAATTCTTGGATGTAAAGTAATCTCTCTCAGAACTTTGAAGTTACTTCTCCATTATTGCATCCAGGTCTTGCCAGGGAAATATGATGCAATCTGATTCTCATTCCTTTGGGTGGGAAATATATTTTCTCTTTTGAAGCTTTTAGGATTTTTGAGTTTCAGAGATTTCATCTAAGTGCGTGCAAGTAATATATGGTCCATTTCTGTCCAAGGACTCCTGTCTTTTTATTTGTTTCAGTATATTTATCATACGAATTTCAAAATAGGATTTTCCGTATTCTTTGAACTCTCTTAGGAGTTGGTTACTTCTTGAGTAATCACAGTGTGTTGTCCTTCATCAAATTAAGGTGATTCTTAGCTGTTTTGTTTTTGTTTGCTTTTTGATATGCCCTGTTACCCTCGCTAAGCTACCTGCATTTAGAGATTGTTGGTCACCACATATTACCAGGAAGAGTTTAGAGGTTTCTGGTTGTCCTAGGTGTTATGAGATACTGGAAAACTTCCTGATGAACTTTTGGGGATAATTACCTGTTATTTACCTCTTTTATCCATAGTCTGAAAGCAGCAGCAGATGTGACTCACTTGGCTCCTACTCACGTATTTCAACCAGTAAAACTTTAGTTTCCTCAGTGGAAGTTTTTTGCTCCTTATTTTTGCTGCTTCTGAACATGGAGCAACACTCACTTGTCCTGGGAAAAAAACTACTTCCTAGAAACTGATCCCATCTGCCTTTTATCTTTTAGAGATTCTTGATCATTTTAGTTCCCTGAGGACACTTTTGTTTTTATTTATTTGTTTTCTTCTTTTCTTAATCCTTACCCGAGGACACGGTTTTATTGAATTTTAGAAATCGAGGAAGGGGGACAGAGAGATAAACATGGAAGTGAAAGAAATATCTATCAGTTGCCTCCCCCACAGGCCCCAACCCAGGATCAAACCTGCAACCCAAGCATATGCCCTGATTAGGAATCAAACTGGCAACCTTTCAGTGTATGAACAGTGCTCCAACCAACGGACAGACCTGGCCAGGGCACTTTCCATTTGTTTTTCAGGACTCCAGGAATTTAAGAGCAGGTGGGGACTCTGCAGCAGGTGCTCGCTCAATCTACTACTTTTATCTAATTGTGGGAGTTGTGTTTGTTTAAAATGCACAGAAATCTCACAGGCTTTTTTTTTTTTTTTCTTCTTCTTATGCACATAATAGTTCCACTTTTTCTTCTGCCAGTTCTAGCTTTCTTAAACCACTCTTATTACTAAATACATTATTTGTATGTCTCTTAATCTTGGATCTCACTATCGATAAACATCATCTTCTATTCTTGGATCTTAGTATTGATAACATTCCTCTTGTGGATTATATTAAATAAAAAATTATAATCTTTTAGTCTATGACTTAATCTTGATAAGATTACATGAAATATGTTATAGTTTGCAGAAATTTTAGAAAGATGTTGCCTATGTCTTACATTTTTTTCCTGCTGTATATAAAAATTATTTGGAATGATTTTTAATGACTGAAATAATCACAATTTTATGAAGTTATAAAATAGTTAGTTTTTAACATATTTGCAGAGGCTTTTATTTAAGTAAGCCACAGTGCTTATTCCCTCCCATACAGGTGATTTACTTGAGACTTACCTATATTAAAGAAATATTTCCTTTTTTTTCAGAGCAGCATCTCAGACATGTTGAAAAAGATGTTTTGATCCCTAAAATAATGAGAGAAAAGGCCCGAGAGAGGTGTTCTGAACAAGTTCAAGGTAATATTCAAATATTCATATAAAGATCAAATACATTTTTTATAATATGATCTGAATTTAATCCTTAGCCTTTGAGTCAAGCAGTCAATGAATTAATATGTATGAATTGTTTCTCACCCTTTCACCGAGATCCAGGGTTTCAGCTTTCAGAACTTCCAGATAATATTGAATTCATTTACAACTTAAAAATATTCTCTCAAATTATTAGTAAAAATTGCTTTCCCCCCCAGAAGTATAGCTACATATAGGGACTTAGTATGAACTTTTTGGAGAAACAAGTCACTCTGGTGGTTTTGATAGAGCAAGAAGAAACATAAAATAAAACGTACCTATTTTCATCTGTCAACATATTTATACAGGAATATATTTCAAGATGATTTTTTCTGGTGTCATTGTCTATTGCTGAATTGTTAATGGAATTCCATAGTACTAATTATGAGTCTGTTCTTTTTTTAATGTTTTATCTTGATGAGTAGAAGCTATTTATGTAAATCAGGGGTAGGGAACCCTTTGGGCCTAGGGCCATTTGGATACTTATAACTTTACTAGAGGCCCCATGCACAAAATTTATGCAAGAGTAGGCCTTCCTGTTCTAGCCAGTTTTGCTCAGTGGATAGAGAGCCAGCCTGTGGGCTGAAGGGTCCAGGGTTCAATTCCGGTCAAGGACATATGCCTGAATTGTGGACTTGATCCCCAATAGGGGGAGTGCAGAAGGCAGCCAGTTATTCTCATCATTGATGTTTCTGTCTCTCTCTGAAATAAAAAAAAAATATGTTTAGAAAAAGAAAAAAAAGAGAGAGAGAGAGAGAGAGAAAGAGAGAGAGAGAATAGGCCTTCCTTCCCCAGGCTGCTGGCACTGGCTTCCTTCTGGCCCTTTAGCCTTAGAGTCAAGTAGTCAATGAATTAATATTAACTTAATTTTTTAAAAAATTAAGGTCAGGGCACATGCTTGGGTTGCAGGTTTGATCCTGGGTCGGGCCTGTGGGGGAGGCAACTGATAATATTTCGTCCAGAAGGTCATCCAGAAGGACATGCAGCTGTCTGATTTAATTAGCATATTATGCCTTTATTATTATAGATTCTCAGGCCATACAAAATTATCAACTTTAAAATTATCTTGCTATATTTGGTCAAACATTTAATTACCTCACCCCTAATGCCTTGGCAGGTCCAAACCAAATGATTTTGCTGGCTTTATATGGCTTTCGGGCCAGGAATTCCCCACCCCTGAAAATGGATGTATGCTTACTTAGAGAATGTTTTAAAATATTTTAATACAACCTTGCTATTCTGTAAATCTAGAGATGTATTGTTGATTAATATGTAACATGGTGAAAAATGTAAGCAAACCAGTGGGAGGTGAAAAATGAGGCTATAAATTATTAAAAAGTTAGTTGGCAGTATTACAATAGAAATGTCTTTTAAAAATAATCTACCTCTTGGAATGATCAACTAAAAGAAATAGTGTAAAATTTTGCTAAGGTAGGCTATTTTCCTGGCTTCCCTTCATTAATTTCCCCTGTAGTCTTCTTCACTAGCTGCCACTTCACTACAGGTTTCTCTAGGGAAGTCTGGCTGTGTCAACTGTAGTTTGGGACTTTGGATGCTGGGAATATTTCTATTCCTCTGATGTCTCTCCTTAGAGAATGGCCTTTGTGATTAATGGATGGAGGCAGTAAAAAAGAATAGTTCTTCAGAACTGACATTGTATGATGGTCATTTCTGTGTCTTATATGACTTATTTGGACATATTCCAGTTTAACTCTATTTGTAAATTAGATTTAAATTAAATTCATCTATATATATAAAAGGCTAATATGCAGAGTGTCCCCACTGGAGTTAGACCTGGAGACTAGGAGTTCTATCGCTCATTATGATGTGCACTGACCACCAGAGGGCGGCACAGTACAAAGGAAGGCCCCAGCCAGCAGTCAGGGAAGGGAGCCCAAGCTGGCAGCCAGAAGGCCCTGATGGGCCCTGATCATCGGCCAGGCAGAGGGGCCTTACTCATGCATGAATTTTGTGCTGTGGGCCTCTAGTTTATAAATAAATTTGTTTATAAATTACCAATAATTTATTAGTGTCATTCTGTGGTATTGTTTTTTTGCTTTCATTACGAATTAGCTGCTTAATCAGAGCACTTACCTTTTATACCTCTTTACTCCCCCATGTGTCAGGAAAAATTAACCCATTGGCACCTGCAGGCAGGGTTCAGTGCACATCTGGCATTGGCAGGTATGCTGATAGTCTCAAGAGATAATCCTTCACTTGCCTCATAGAACTTCAAAAAAAAAAAAAAAAAAATATATATATATATATATATATATATATATATATATATATATATATATATCCTGGGTTAGGTTAACTTTTCACTACCAGGAAAATATACTTTAATAAAAAATTGGTCTAAAGTTATAAATATGAGTTGTATTTATGCAGTCTTATAACACATTAATTTGATATATAGTTATATATTGACTTTTTACTCCCATAATTCAGATGAAAATGCAGAATGATTGTGTGGCTTTGGGTTTTAGAACTGTTTTTTCTTACTGGTAGGTGATGAAACTGTTTTCGAAATGTAGGAGAATATAAGTTTAAAGTATTTATTTGTTTGTGTTCCACAACTACCACTTTGTAATGGTACAGAAAAAATGTTTAATTTTTGCTTCTTCATAAAATATTACATTGTTTAGGCTGTTGACATGGTTCAGTTTCTCTTATTAACGTACATAAAATCTTCTGAAGATTGAAAGCATCTTAAAACTTGGGTTATTTCAATGCATTTGTAATTATTAGAACATGTTATAACAATTGATTTTTTTAACAATTGAAATTTTATAGATAATCATATATTGATTTTTTAGGCCATATGGTCCAAAACAGTGTTTTAGAATCTAAAATTGATTACTTTATAAAGGAATAATCCTTAATATTCTTCCTGTTTAACCTTGCTCGGCCACTATTATTTAAGTGGCCGAGCAACAGCTACATTTAAACTGAACAATAAGATGCAAATTAAAATCAGGATACTTCTGTTATAATTTATTTACTATTTATCACCTTTGTTTTATTAAATAATTACAGGATTTTATATAAAAGCATTATACATTGTTCTTAGATAAAGATATAGGAATTTTAATAAGTGGTCTGACTTTCTGCTAAATGCCTGAAACATGATTATGTAGGAAAGCTTTTCTGTTTGATTTTTTTTTCTCTCATGTCATTGCAACCCAGTTGATCATAAAAATTGGGTCAGGCTGCCAGCAACTTAGGTTTGTGAAGGGAATGGAACAGCTTTTTGAGGGACAAAGAGAAATGAAATCACTTTCAATGAAAGCAAGATGCCTCATTATAGTCACCAACAGCAGTTATTGACAGCTACACTTCCTATTAACAAGGAGCATTTAACTAAGAGTTTGGCTGTTGGATCTTTGGACTTGATCTAATTTGCTAGCATTAATTAGTTTCTTTTGAGCACAGACACTTGGTGCTCACAGCTATAGATTTGGAGGGCTAATTAGGATAGAAAATTGAACAGAATGGGGTAAGGCATTAACCTTCAACCATTACCAGCTGGGACACTGATAAAGACCACAGAGTCCAAATGCTCCCTATTGATGTGAAGAGTACCCTAATGAATATCAATTTCAGCCAGGTTGCTATATACTTACTACTTTTCTCTTCATTATAAAGTTTAACCAACTTCCATGATACCTTCATTATCTATTTATACACTATTGTTTTTCATTATACACTGATTTAGACTGAGTTGCACATTTCACCTTATGTTTTAAATATGAAATTTATCATTAGCAGCAGATAATATTTAGAATATCTCACCGTACAGTAAAATAACTTTTATCTACAACGATATGATTCTAATTCTATATTGAATTTTTATAGTCTCCCCCTCCTGAAAGCCAGAACAAAAGTCCCCTTCCACCATGCATGATGGTGGAATCATTTTTTTTTTTTTTTTTTTTTTTTCTTGGATCTGGGAGTTAATGACCTGTGGCTTTAGGGAAGTGGTTGATGACCTTTGGAGGTTACTTTCCACTCTGTGACTTTTTCCAGGCTTAAATATTTTTATTGTTTTCACAGAGGAAGAGAGAAGGAGAGAGAGATCCAAACATCAATGATGAGAGAGAATCATTAATCGGCTGCCTCCTGCAAGGCCCACACTGGGATCAAACCCGAAACCCGGGCATGTGCCCCTGACCAGAATCAAACCTGGAACCCCCCCACCTCCCAGTCCTTAGGCTGACACTCTATTCACTAAGCCAAACCAGTCATGGATCCCATGTGTTTTGACACTTTGCTAATTTAATGATTTGTATTTTCTATGTTAGTAATATTTTAAAAATATTTTTTGTCATGTATATTGGTAAATTATGCATTCTAGTAATTATAAATTTCACTTCTGGAAATAGAGCCTTCATTAAGAGAGTCACTGAATTGCTGTATTTTGTAAAAAAATCCTCATTATATTTGCTTTTTTTGGATTGCATAGTTGATATCTGATATTGTCTCTATGCTGAAGAATGAAGTTTGCTTTAAAAATAATAAGAACCTTTTTTTTTTCTTTTGCAATGACAGATCAAGACCAAAAAAGTACATTGTCATCAGGGATAACCTAGAACTTTCTTTAACCTAGCTATATTCTCCTACTTACTAACTCCTTTCATCCTTTGGGCCTTTTATATTGTTTTAATGTTTCTTTTATATCATTTTTTTCTGTTGCCATGTTTTTGATCTTCTGACCAATAGTTGGGCTTGGTTCTAAAGGAATTATATATAATATAAGAAAGCAAGGATTATTTGTTTTTTTCTGAAACATCAAAGAGCTATCCTATCTAATAAAGAGTGGATATGCTAATTGATCCTCATGTCAACACAAAGATGGCAGTGCCCACAGCCAATAAGGAAGGAATATGCTAATTGAATGCCCCATCCTCAAGGATGGCAGCACTCACATCCAATAAGGAGGGAATAAG